TCCTAATTCTCGACCTTCACGCCCTCCTATCAAGGGTCATGTCCTTACTATTTAGGATAGAAGTTAGTGGGACAAGACAGATGCACGACTACCTACTAATTTTCTATCCTAATTCTCGAACTCCACGCCCTTCTATCAAGGGTCATGTCCTCGGTAAGCTGAAGCAACGCAATATCCTGTCAATTGTGTGATCATTTTATTTAAAACTTAAGCTATTAGAGGAGGAACCTAAATTCATCCTAATTTATTTATGTATGCAGCACTGAGAATTAATATGGTTACAAATTAATTTACTCCTTTATTGGTTAACCTATAACTAATACATTACTCTACATAACCTAATTTGATGCAGCAATGAATTCAAACAACATTACTAATCAGAAGACGGGTGCCGGAATCATCCGTAAGATACCGGGTTGGATACGAAAAGGTGCAAAACCAGGAGGCAAAGTCGCCGGCAAAGCTTGTAAAATTTGCTCATGTAAATACCAGATTTGCAGCAAATGTCCTAAATGTCATGACTAAAGTTAGGCCTTGAGACTATGTACTTGTGCTGGTGTGAGTTTAGTTTTGAGAGTAAAGGGAAAGTTATGAATAGCCTAATATAATTCTATTAGTACCACTTGTCTTGTAGTCTTTCAACTGTATGGTATTGTACTGTATTTTTCTTTAGCCACTTGATATCAAATCCGATTAAATCTAATTTGCGTTGCATATGCTCTACCACAGTCAGACCTTTCTATAACAACATTCGTATATAACAGTATTTCATTATAAAAATTAATTTTTTCTTGGAATCGATTTTTTATGTTATGCTATAATATATGTTTTCTTTAATAGTACTTCACTATAGCAGCCNCTATAGCAGCAAAAAAATATCGAAACAAACGAGATTGTTATCGATGGGTTTGACTGTACAAGGAAACGGGTTCTTATAAAAAGGTTTATCATTTTTAGAGTTCGAACCTAAGATCTTTGATTAAGTTGGGTATAGAAATAACCTTTATCCGTAGTATATATACCGGGATCTTGTATCAGCGATTATATAATAATTACTTGATCCCAAAGACATTATAGGAGCTTAATTTGGAAGAGCAATTTGCTCGACAGATAAATTAATTTCTGTCTCCTTGCCCTCTCTTACAATAATGGGGCGGTAGTTGATTAAGCCATATTCAATATTTACAGCAAAGATTACATATAGGATACCTCTAACATGAATCCAGCACTCCTTTACAAGCTATTCCGTAATCATATATTAGTCTCATAGATATACTATTCCGCAAATTTATCCCCTTTTTATAATGAACATTGTTAATCAGTAACTTGTGCAATATAATGCCCTTTTACAGTCACAGATCTCTCTCCTAATAGGGTTAAAAAAAACAAAGAAGAGAAATGGCAATGCAAAGACGAAAGAAAGCACAGTCACCTGCTTTTTACGGATGACCTTATACTATTCGCCCGTGCTGACCTAGACAATGCCAACACTATCATTAATATATTCAACTCTCTCCACATCCAATCATGGCAAAAAATTTATTTCTCTAAATCAAAACTTTTGGTTTTCAAAAACGTACCGCTCGACACTCAAGAGTGCCTTACCAGTGCCCTAAACATCCGCAAGGCTACCAACTTTGGTAAATATCTAGGATTCCACCTAACTAACAATTCCCCTAAAGGCAAAGACAATCAATTCATAATTGATAAAATGAATAATAAGCTCACAGGATGGAAAGCAAAAACTCTCAACATGGCAGGTAGAACCACCCTCATACACTCTATACTAGCCACCATTCCAAACTATTCCATACAAAATAACCTACTGCCAATCTCTACTAGGAACCACATCGATCGTATCCAACGAAACTTCCCGTGGGGTTCAACTACAGAAAAAAGAAAAGTCCACCTTGTTAATTGGGAGACTATAACCACTCCGAAAGAGCTCGGAGGACTAGGGCTTTATAAAA